CCCCAAAAAAACAGCCCTCAAAACCATGGGCTGAACAAATATTTGTGTTTGTTTTCTGTTTCATGTCAGAAGCATCTTGAAATGTGGATGGCAATTTTACAACAGGCCTCTCACAGCCAAATTATATTTTGAAAATATAAGACAAAAAGCAAAGCAAACAGGGTGATTTTTTTTCTGTGTGTTCTGTAAATTGGAATAATTTGTGTTCAGTAAATGGTGTGTCAGTTCAATTTCATACTTAATTTAAATACAAGGCAGTGGGGTAAGTTCTAAGATCCTGTACAGGAATACAAGGCTTTTTGGTTGAGGCTCCCTACCTTCTGTTGCTAAAACCCTGGATTAAAGAATCAGGCTAATCACTGCTGAGATATGATGGCAGGTGGATAGCATTTACTCTAACTAGGCTGTGAAGTGGGTGAGAGCAGGCTTAGAGCCAGATCTGCTGAAGGACTTGAGGCTGAGATTTGTGTCATGCTATGCTTTTGTGAAAGCCAAAATCTTGGAGCTTCCTGAAGCCAATGGATCAGCTACAAGAAGTAGTTCAGGTATTGTATTTACCCAAATCAAAGACTTTGAATTTAAGATGACCCCCCAATAATTAGATTCCAGGCATGGAAAATTATATAGGGGCAGGGGGGAGTGGCAGGGATCGAAGCCTGGGGGAAGCAGAGGTTGAATTGGGCAGGTGAGAGTGGAGGCAGTGGTTGTAGCTCTGATCTCAGGCTTGGGGTCATGGACAAAGTCAGAGCTGGAGCTGGAGCTGGAGCTCCCCTCCCCACAACTTGCACTCAAATCTAAGATGAGGGGCTCCCCTCTCAAGGTTGAATAGGGTAAAAACTCATCTTGGATTCAAGTAAAATACATTAGAAATTGTGAGGAGCTGCAGTAGACAGACAATCTGTCCCCAACCTCCTCCTGCCATAATACTACCATTTAGAAATACAGACATACCAAACAGAAAGGAATCCTGGTATTCTGCAAGCACATTATTCTGCCTGCCTCTATGTTCCAGCCCATTCCCTTACTCTGTATCTTTTTTGTCTAGTTGGAAAGTAAGCACCTCAGGGAAGGGACCAACTCCTTGGTCTGGACAGTCCCTACCCCAGTGGAGCTCCATTTTTAGTTGGCCTGTCAGCAGTATGTGATAAAAATGATAAATAATAGCACAGATATGAATGAGTTTGGAAAAGAAAACAGGGTCCGTGTACTTTGTTGAAGATGAGGAAGGGACTCTTGTTTGTTCACACATGACAATTGTCTTCATAGTTGCTGTAATGTTAGGTAAAAGAAGTAACCTACCCCAAGTACAGTTGTATCACATTGGGTGGCTAATCAGGGTTGTGCCCAGAGTTTTACATGGCTTAGAAACCTCTAAGTAAAACCTAAGGAATTCAAAAAGTCATAGCAACTCATTCACACCCTTCCCATCTGCTGCATTCAGCGAGCTTCCTTTTTTGTGTCCTTGTGACAAGGCATTTAGGAAAATTAGCAGACGCATTAGACTCTGCCAGGCCATGCTATGAGCGCTTCTGCTATGGCTTTGAACGTGGGACCTCCATGTTATCAACTGTGTACCTGAGCACCCATGCCACTCCAGCCCTCATTCAGTGAGCTGAAACCTTAGAGCACGTTATGGAGTGTTATGCTGATGGCAGTGTCAGCAGCACTGATGTGCCAGCTTGGGGTCACTTAAAGAGCCTAGTGTTTCTTTCTACTGTAGCCACATTTTCATTTGAGCAATTATGTTCAATCTACTTCCATTTTCACAGTAGTTTCAATTTCATTTCCTTTCTTAAAACTGTTTTCAGCTGCTTGCAGAAGTTAAAAATAAATCGACAAAAAACAGCGCTTTACTTTAAACTCCGCATGCTCCCATGCTGAGCCCAGTGCATGCCCAGAAGAGACAGCACATTTGTTGGACCTGGCTTGCCCAACATCTGTATAGATTGGGTGCTTTAGTTGGGCTTTTTTTGGTGCTTTATCTAATAGCTGATTTAATCAGTTATTAGATAAAAGCACCAAAAAGCCTTGCTGAAGTGCCTGATCTATAAAGACGCTGTGGAGCCAGGTTGAACTACTACACTGCTTCTTCCGTAAAGCTCCTTTTTTTTTTTTTTTTTTTAACGTCTGCAAGCAGCTATCTTCATGTTCAGTGTGCTGCCATAGTTACCTTCCACCCTTGAAATAGTGGCTTTGGTACACTATAGGGGAATTACAGGCAGGCTGGCAAGAAACTGGCTTTCTGGTCAAGAATATCAAAGTTTATGGCTGGAGTCAGTATTCTCTAACTTCAGTTGCAACTGCTAGAGTTTGACATCCACTCAAATGGAAACCATTTTAAGACATTATGAGTGGGATTGTGGGCCTTGTTTTTCACCTCTTGCCTCATCCTTTACACATATGCCAAACGGATATAAAATGGAGCTTTTTGGAATTGGTAGCATTTCTACACTGGTTTGCTAAAATATAAATGACTACACAAGTTGCAAAATAGTAGAGAATCAGGCCCACCATAATTTCTTATGTCTGTGATGTTTGAAAATATATAGATTTTGATCTATAGTACTTGAAACTATGTAGACACTAAGTGAAGAAATCTCTGTAGTGTGAACCTTGGGGTTAATTCTGTTATTATTATGGACCATCGTAGGAACAGTGAAGCTGAGGAATTCTTCCCTGACTGAGGAGACTTACTGGGAATGAAACTACAGTATCTAAAAGAAGATAAATACTGGTTATATAGAGCACTGAAAAAAATAGCATGAAGCCTCTCTATTTTGTTTTATCTCATTAACATATCTATGTAAACCAATTGAGATGCATGCCATCTTGCTTCAGCCATAGCTCATTAAGGTCCAAAACTCTCTCGTTGAGAGTTTTCCTGTATATTTAACTGAGGAGCAACTAACTATAGCCTAAAATGGCTCTCTCTCTCTCTAGCACTTTTTCCCCTACAAGAACTGTTTCGCACTCTGTTGCTTCTCTTACTAGTGAGATTCACCAGTTCTCTTGCTGAGTGGAAGCCAATAAGATCCATCTAGACCAGGGGTAGGCAAAATGCGGCCCAGGGGCTGGATGTGGCCTGCCGGGCTATTCTATCCAGCCTGTGGGGTCCCTAAAAAAATTTAGAAAATTAATATTTATCTGCCCCTGGCTGCCTGTCATGTGGCCCTCAATGGCTTGCCAAAACTCAGTAAGTGGCCCTCCACCCGAAATAATTGCCCACCCCTGATCTAGGTAAATCGGCTCTAAAATAAAGCCATATCCTAATCAAGTGCCATATCCCAATCAGATGCCATTCAAGGTTCTAAAAGCTGACTTCCTGGTATAATAAGTCTGACAAATACTGGAGCATATTTACATTTTTAGGGTTCCTGTAAAAACTCTTTAATTAATTTATTAAATACTACTTAGTACAGTGAATATTGATAAAAGCTTTACAACTGTAATCTAATTTAAAGCATTCAATGTAATGACAGATTAATCCAAATAACAGGTGACGGAAAGGCTTTCTGGCATTATGTGTTCAAGCTAAGGGAGGGTGAGGTGTAAATTGGCATTCCCTGTTGATCTGCAGGATAGATGGGAGCACAGTTGCCTACAGACCCTCATGTCCAACCTGTTCATCTTAATGTTTAAAAAAGAAGTCTAAAGATCTATTTCATTCTGAACTTTCTCCAAGAATACTAATTGGTCTAAATTATGCAAGAAAAGCTGTTCCTAGATTAACAGTCAAAACAAAAAGAACAAAACAGTTGCCTGCCAGCAGATTTTCTTCCTTGCCTGCAAATTAAATACCTGATTAACAATATATTCTTAAAATACATTGCTGGGTGCTGTCTGCATACACACTACACAGCCTATCCTCCACCTTTCCTGATTTTTGTGGTCTGATGATTTTTCATCTTTGTCTGAGAGATGAGATTCAAGGTGAGAGAGAGAGAGAGAGAGTACAAATCCTGTAAGGTAATTCAGTCACTCACCTCATCTTCATAATCTTTCCTTAGCTTCCTCTGCCTTCTAGCCCTTGTATTGATCGTGTCACAGGCTACAGTAGACCAAGGCAGGGGGCTGAAAACCTTTCCGAACAGCAGTTGCCAGTCTGCCTGTTGCAGCTTGAAGAAGAAAAGCATGCTGTGAAAACAATCAGTGCATTTGCTTTAGATCTAAGTGATTCCAACTAGGTCGATGCTTCATGCTGATGTGTTGAAAACATTTAAAAAATTTCTCAGAGTTTGATTTCAACTGAAACATTTCAGCGTGTGTCTGACTCTCTGAAGTTGTTATTTCTCACTAATGTAGCAGACAACTGTTTTCTACCATCGCGCAAATCAGTAGGGAAACTAGGCCTTTTGTCTAGATGGGTTTTATTTTGAATGTTTTTGAGGGAGGGGAAATTATTTGCCAGGTTCACTTTTATAAGCTGATGCTATTCCAAATTGACCCTAGTGTAGTAGCATTTTATTTTGTGAGGAGAAAAAGTGGTAATCACACTTTTACTGGGTGCGAATGAGAGTGTAGCTTCACTCTGTTGCTTTCCCCCTGGCCTCCCACCCCCATCCCACGTATGAATTTTTATTCCTTGGCAGATTTCAACCAACATAAACACATTTTCCTCAAAGCACATGATGTCTCTCTTTGTATATGTTTACCTTCATATTTACCTTCTCTAAGAACTTGAGATAAAGAAGCCAATGAAGCATTATCAAAAAGAATTATTTTCAGCCAAATTAATAGCTATTCATTTTCCAAGAGTGGCAGGAATCCAGGACAACACTTTACTATGCCAAGGCTTCTACAATTGCTTTTTCAACTCCAAGAAAACATTTTTAAAGAAATAGAATCGGCTGCAGATTTTGATCTCGTATTCATTGCTCACCTTAAAAACTCACTGGCATCTCTAGGAGCTTTCAAGGTGCTGCTGAAGGAACAGGACTCTGAGTTAGTTCATAGCTTATCTGCAGCTTTTATTAAAACAATGCAATGAAATAAATAATAACTATATATAGATAATAAAATAGCAATATTAATAACATTATCATTTTTGCTACAAGCATAGAACAAGATTATCCATTCCATCGGTTTGCACAGTTTCATATACTGTATATCATCATATAGCATATGATGATATACAGTATATGAAGAAATAAGTGGACAATAGAGGAAAGCAGGGGCATTCTGTTTAATTTTCCTCTTCTTCCTTGTGCAAGTAATGCAAATATGCCTAGCACAGCCTCTGAATTGTCACAGAGAAGCCAAATTGTTTTTTCTCCATTAGCCCAGTATTGAAAATTTCCCATTAATGGAAATGGGAGCATTTTCCTCTTATTTCTTCAAAGAACAGACAAGACCACAAATAGTGATTTAAATCATCTGCCTCGTTCTTCCCACAAGAACATATTCTGTCCAAATATGGGGTCCAACACCACCTGCCCATGACAACTACAGATCTCATTGAAGTGAATCTCAGTCTAGTAATGGCTTCTCTTTGTTTGTAGTTTTGCACTGCAGACAGGTAGGTTTCTAGGCCAAAGGAGTGCTGTATTAATCTTTAAAAAGGGGGATGTATGAGAGAGCCTCACTGCCAGCATATCTGTCTGTATGCATTTAATTCTTAAATTTACGTCTTGGTTTAAATAAAGGGGATATGTTGGATTGGTGGCTTTCAGTACATTTCATAGGCCATTTGTTCTGTGGAGAATATAGATGTTATTTAACCATCCAAACAAGGTTTTATTTGGAAAAGGAAGGGCTTCTAGAATCCATTTCTTAGGGTATCTGTTAGGTGAAAAAGATCTAATTTTCAGCGAATAGTTTAGAGCTTTTAACCGAGCTAAGATGCTCCCATTTATCAGCCTGCTGTCAGAGTGGATGAGCCCCCCATCATAAATTTAGGTAGAGATCAAAACTGTCTCAAAAAATAACTAGAATTCTTTTCTGTTTCTGAGGGGACCATGCGGTCAGCACCCCAACTTTTTGCTCCATACAAGAATATGGACTCTACCTTAGAGTTATTGACTTCTAGCACTGCCAGAACCATTCTTCTGCCCATCTCTTTGTAAAAAACTAAAAATCCACCCAAGGCTTGTTGTCCTCTAGTGTTCACAATTTCAGTGTGCTTATTCCAGCTCAGATTTTTGCTAAAATAGATTCCAAGGTATTTAAAGGAGGATACCACCCGTATTTTCCTGTAAAAACTAAACTCATTTCCTCCTTACATTCCCGAAAACCAATACCTTGGATTTGGCTATGTTGATTTCCAAGCTATATGAGGAACAAAACTTCTGAAAAGCATCTAATAACCCTTGGATGTTTATTTTGGATTATAGGCAGACAATGTGACATTTATTATTGTGTCATCTGCATAAAGCAAGATGGGGTAGGGTAATTCAGTATCATGGATATATGGAATTAATACCCTGTTAAAATCTGTTTTAGATCGCTCAAAACTAAATTAAAAAGTAGTGGAGCAAAAAAACATTCTTTGTCTAATCCCTGTTTTAGCTGGCAAACTATTGAACAGGCCACAGCCAATTCCATAACACATCCTAGATGCTAATTTGAATAGTAAGTAACAAAGAATTGTAAGAGAGCTTTATTGCCAGTTTTTTAACATAATTTTAATCTGTCTATGGAGTCAAAAAATCCCTTTAGGTATGTGAAGGTTACATATAAATTATTTTGTCCCTTTTACAGATTTAGATGCTAGTGCAACATAAAGCATGGCCCATGCTGGAGCAGCCTTCCCTGAAACCAGCCTGTTTTTCTCCCAGAAGCTTATTTTCAGAACTCCAAGTCTGAAAATGAAAAAATAAATGTCTCCAAAATATTTTGGCAAGAATACACATAAGATAAAAAAGGGTATATGATGCAGGATATCTCATCACCATTTTTAAAAATTGGGACTATTATATTTTCATGCCAATGCTTTGGATAAATGCCTTAAAATAATTATATTAAAAATGTTGGTCAAAATTGGACACTACCAGTCAATGAATTCCTTGAAGACTGGGGGAAGAAAATCAAGGCTGGGGCCTTTCTATCCCTTAGTATGGATATATTTCAGTCCCCAACCTAACAGTTCTGGTCTGTGGAGTTGTGTCATCTAATCTGCCCCATGCGGCATATGGCCTGCAGACTGGCCTTGTGCCATTTATCTGCCCCACAGGGTCAAAAGTTTGAGCACCACTCATATATATGATCTTAGGTAAGATTCGGAGTTGAGATAATGATAATGATAGAATTTTTAGACTTGCATCCTCTGAGGCACCTACTAAATCATCTTTAACTTTAGAGCAGTCCTCTTCAAACCATAGTTTGTGCCACTGATAGTGCCTATTCCCAACAAGGACTCTGTTCTGTGAGTGCATATTCTAACTGTTGGACAACAGCTTTGCATTGATTAATTGCTTCTTGGCTTTCTTGTACTTTGAGAATATGAGATAAGTAGCCTGAGAAGGTATCATTGAATAGAATAACACTTTTCTTTCATAACTCATTAGTCCATTGAATTATATTTTTATTGAATAACTCTGTATTGGGGGCTAGTTGTATAGGTCTTTGGGAAGGCTCCCCATAAGATTCTAATAGAATTTTTAGAGAGAAAGGGAAGAGATCACTTTCCACAAATGGTAACATTTCAAATGATTTAAACTTATACCATACATGTGGTTCTATTAATATATAACGTATCACACGTTCTCTTTTAGTTGTAACAAATGTGAACATCTTCATCAGTGACTTGGATGAGGGGGTGGAAAGCACACTGTCCAAGTTTGCTGATGACACTAAGATGTGGGACGAGGTGGACACACTTGAAGGGAGAGAGAGGCTGCAACTAGATTTGGACAGACTACAAAAGTGGGGAGACGAGAATAGGATGGGGTTCAACGTAGACAAATGCAGGGTGCTGCACCTTGGGAGAAGGAATCCACAGCATACGTGCAGGCTGGGCAGTTCCCTTCTTGAAAGCACAGAGGCGGAAGGGGATCTTGGAGTCATTATTGGCTCCACAATGAACATGAGCTGCCAATGCCAGACCGCAGCCAGCAAGGCCAGCCATACCTTGTCATGCATCCAAAGGTGCATCTCAAGCCGGTCCAGAGAAGTGAT